TTAGCACAGAAACAGTACTATATAACATTTTAGACACATTATAGACAGTTTATCAGCTAAAAAAAGTTATTTTTGGGGTAAGTTACTCTTTAAGTAAGAAATGCTATTAAAGTCATGCGTGAATACGCTTGTTCTCGCGAAAAGTCATTACAAACATGGCGGCAATGGATGTTCACCATCAGCCATCAGAGGAGACGTCGGCGTCTTATCGAAGGTTTCGAGTGTCAAGCCCCTTATACTTGGGAGTGGATACGTATGCTGCATTTTTGGGAAAATGTAGTCGGTGAGTTTAATACTTTCTTTTACTACTTCGGAGATTTTATTACTACTTTTACTTCCTGTTATCTTCTTCGTCGTCGTCTTTTTCGCCAGTAGAAACAGCCGGTTCTTGATCATGTGACTCCCAAGATGCGAAAAAAGTGTTTCCGTTGCAGTTTTGCAAAATACATAAATTTCGATACAGCCAAAAAACCACCTCTTCCTAGCGCAAAACCATTTTGTCAAAAAAAATTTTTTTTTCAAAACTGATGTGCTTCCATTTTTGAAAATCTAATTTGTGCATTTTCATGGTCAATGGAAATGCAGCAAATGTTTCTGTTTCTTTGTTTAAAGTGTATGTAAAATGTAAAATACAAGACTGTTTCTTAAAGTCAGTTAATGAGACGCAATTTTCTTCAAATGCATGTTGCCATACAGTGATGAGATCTGTGCTCTGCATTTGACCCATGATAAACACCCAAGTGGAGGCTGCTGTGTAAAWGCCCAGGGAGCAATTGGGGGTTTGGTGTCTTGTCCAAGGACACCACAACATATAGGCAATTGTCTATGCCATATTGCAATAGTCGATTTATGGACTAATTTATAGACTTCTAATGAAAAAGGAAGGCAAAGGCATCAGAATCCCTTTGCTGCAGAGCCGAATGTGCCAAAACCAATTAACACATAAATATACACATATAGCGAAAGAGCTTTGCTTGGCTGACAGATTGTAAATTCCAAGATACTTTGCCTCACACCATAAACACATACTGAGAAGCTATTGTTGCTGTCCACATCAGCTGCAAAGTGGTGTGAATTTCAAGCAGAAAATAAACTTTCTGTATGAAAAGTGAAAATGAGCCACACTGATGCAGATGGAACAAGTAAAAATTACCTAGATTGTACCACATATCCCTGATCTCGAAGCCAATTTGTCTCCTCATGTCTTGGTACCTGAAACACAAAGATGTCACACCAAATTATGAAACATAAGAAAATGTAAATGGAGGAGTCACGTTACATCTGCACAGACTGTTCCAGAAATAAAACCAGTGACAAGAGATGTCGGCACAGACTGCGACCAGTGTTGTTGGGCATGCTTGTGAGGTTTGGATTAAAATGTGAGAGAGAAAACAAGTAAAGAAACAATTAAAAAATGATGTATAGTGTGTATTGGCTTTTGTGAATTGAGGGCTCATAAGCTGAATGGTTCTGTCGTGTTTAGGTCAGGAACCAATCAGCGTGACAGCCTGGTGCCTGTTTCTGTGCTTACAACCCTCTCGCAGGTCACCGACAGGACGAGTGCTGAGTTGGAAAGGACAAAGTGACAGACGAAGAGTGAATGATAGATAAACTAACAAGAGTGGAACCCAGGAGACAGAGAGGCCGGTTCAGTCAAAGTAAACCCAACAACAAAAAAGAACGACTCTTGCTTCAATGTCAGAACAGATATTTCATGATAAAACATTTCTAACCAGATGCAGTTTATCAAAACAAATAACAATAAATACAATCCACAGAGAGAGAGAGCTGTTTTTGACCCGTTTTACCCCTGTAGACCCCATAGTTCAGCCAGCCTATCACAGATTGTTCTCCCTGCACTATTTCATGCTGATAAATAATTAGATGCATCTTTATTGCTGGTTCCCTGCAGGGAATAACTGCAATGAACTCAATAGTGTGTTTGAGCTTTTAGAGCAGATTCTGCTTCAACCTCTCTGCGTGGCTCAGCAGGTACAGAACACACACACACACACACACACACACACACACACACACACACACACACACACACACACACACACACACACACACACACACACACACAA